ATACTCTGTAGCAACAGGTTGCGAGAGTATAACAAATAGGAAAAAGAAGAAAAATAGATTTAGATATTCGCAGCAACTTTGCACCGCAGCAAAAAGCGGAATAAAAGCAAAATAACAATAATAATAATAATAATAATAAGCATAATAATAATAATTATAACAAGTAAGGAAGGGCTAAGTTCGGATGTAACCGAACATTTTATACTCTCGCAAAGTTAAATTGTATATTCGTTTGAGACTTCCTTATATATTTTAATAATTAGAAGTAGGAACTGTTGCCTTAGTTATTTACTTTTCACTCACAGTGAAAATAGTTAGAGCAATTTGTAAACTAAATTTACTCAAATTATGAGAAATCGTTCTTGTGCTTTTTGTGTACGCTTATAATTGATTTTATATAGAATGCATTACAACTGTATTGAGAAGTATGAAAAGAAATCGTTTTTGGACTATGAATAACATTTTTTATTTATTATATCGATATTATTATACATGTTTAGCTTAAAAATAATAAATATTAACAACTTTAAAAATGATAAAATATTATTATATTAATTTGTATATAACATTTACAATATTAAACATAAATTTTTGTAGAGATTCTTATTCATATATCCAAATTATATATCTTTTTTCCTTATATTTATACAATAATGTCATATATAATAACAAATTATATATATAATTTAAATTTTCTTAATTAGATTATTTACATATTTTTCTTAAAATTGTCTTAAAAACTACTGTCAAAATTCCTATACCATTCCAATTCGATTATAGCTCTAGGCATTCTGGGTCGAGTATGAACTACAACTTTATTATATGTGGCACCCTGACTTTTATGAATAGTTATTCCCTCAGCCGGAACAACTGGAAACTGATTTCTTTCAATTGAAATTTGTTCATTTCTTCTATATTGAAAAGATTTTAGAACTTTTTCATTTGGTGTCCAAGAACTTTCTAGAGGATGAGGCTTTTTTGATCGTGCTATCGAACCAACAGAAGGTTCCAAAAATTTAATCAACAGAATTGTTGGAAAGAAACATTAAAAATCAATATGCATAAGTTGTCCAGCTGCCCCATTAACCAAGCCATCACACGTGTTTATATTCACTGTAATCATATATTTGGCTAATGTTTTTAGTGTCAATTCACAGGGCAGTCCCTGCGTTTCAGAAGTTTTGAAAAGTTTAACTCTTTCCAAAATATTATCATTTTCATTTATACCAATTCCTTTAACTGAGTCTTTTTCAGTTGAAAGGAAAGCTTCTGTTGGGATTCGACTGAGCTTAAGGGCATAGAAATTATTTGTCTCTTCATTGGACCAAAATAAATGTATGGCATCATCGGGAACTTCTTCGAAATTAACTACTCGAGTTTCAATGAGTGATATGTCCTCATTTGTCATAGTACCAGATGCCATACGATTTAATGCAATTGCAAAGGCCTGATTCTCCCGTTGTTTCATTATCTCTGTTAATTCAAAGTATTTAAATAACTCCCACAAAGGGGAACCAACTAAAGTGGTGTATGCATCATTGGGATTAGGAGAGAATATCCACCTATCTCCAACAGGTGAGAGTTGCTTCAAATCACCAAACACGATGATCGGAATACCACCGAAGGGGCTGTCTGTTTTGAAAATGTGTTTTAATCTCGCATCAACAGAGCTAAACATACGAGCACCTACCATCGATATTTCATCAATTATGATTAATTTTAAATCGATAAGTCTGGAATACAATGAATTAACTGTGTCATTGCTAAGTGGCCTCAATTCTCTATTCAACTGATTAACAGGTAAAGAGAATATTGAATGAAGGGTCATTCCACCTATTCCGAATGCTGCTTTACCCGTAGGTGCGCAAAGAACAACTTTTAAGGAACTTGGATTGGATCCAGGTGTAGAATTGTAACGATGGTTAAGAGCTTAATATATTGCAGATATCAAACGACTCTCTCCTACACCTGCACCGCCGCCAATGAACTCATAAAATGGGAGATTTGTTTTTAGGTGGTGCATCAAATGTGTCAAATAGGTTCTTTGCTTAGTATTTAGTCTTTGAACTAAAGAAAATAATTTCTAAACTGGAATTAAAGGGGGTAGTTTAATAACTGTAATATTGCGATCAGATTCAGTGCCATTATCTGTTGAATCTTCGCCATGCAAGTCCAGCAAATTTATATTTGGGTTTATTTCTGGAAGTGCCAACACTCTGAACTCATTTTCCACGATAGGTAGTTAATTTTGAGCACCTTAGTCCAAGTCTATTTCATTATAAAGACTTTCAAGAACATTTTCAAGTTCTCTTTGCTCAAAAACATCATATTTTCTTTGATTTTCCTCAATTCTAATACGATGTGTTATGCAAGTCTGCTCATTATCGTTTTCAATGAGACCTTGCTGTTCATTCCGCCAAGTTCGCGGAAATACTCAACTCTGGCCAAATCTGGGTTAAACCTTCTATACCGAATAATACAAGGTTTGGTACGTTTTTTCACAAAACCGCTACCGTCTTTAAGAGGCATGACAACCCCGCTTTCTGGTAAATTATCGTCTTCCCTCTCTTCTTCTTCATGATCACTATCTTGTGCTCTTCTACTAGATTTAAAATATTTATACCTAGATGCAAAATCAGGTAAACAAAGAGTTTGTAACTGATCGGATCTTTGAACACAACGGTCTAAAATACCGGCTACGAATATTTCAGTCGAACCTGAAGGAAGGTTCTGAAGTTCCGCTCTAGATTTTACCATTCGAACACGTTCCTCAGGTCGAGAGGTAATTATAAATATTTCTGCATTACTTGCTTCCGAAAGATGGAGCCCAATGCAGCAATATACTGCTTCTTGTGCAGATATTTCTGTGCCTGATATAAATTTGTGACCTATATGTTTAAGTTTTTGCTTAATAGTATAATTTCCAGCATTTACCTCTGATATAGCTTCATTTAAGAGCCTAGAAATTCCCCTGTTAGACTTGTTAATATAATTAATTATATATGAACAGCAAGCAGATGCATCCAGTATATATTGATATCCATATTTGCTCTATGGGTCCAAATCAGAGGATTATAAGCGTTTGTACAACGATCCTGTAATTTTCTTTTGAAAATTTTGGGTTCAAGCTTGACCTGGGGCTAACAAATAGTCATCAAAGATATTTATTCTACTATCAGCTGGAAGTGTTTCTAAAACCGTTTAAATTAGAAATATTTTCTGTAGGTCATATTTGAATATATTTAAATACGTTTTGATTTTGAAAAGTTTTCGCTTGTGTTTTCGATGATTTGACTTGTTTCTTGTAGATATGTACAGTATGTTTGCGTTGAAGTATTGGTAGATTTGGTAATGACCGAAACGACAAAAATTCTGTTTCTTGTATATATTTCCTTAGATTACAGGAGACTAACTGTAAGTTTATGTTTTGTAACCAAATATTTTTAAAGGCTGATCGAACCATCCGGTATGAAATTTCTAATTTGTAATAAAAACTTCATTGAATTTGACTGGTCAAAGAAATCTGGAGGTACTGTTGATCTGGGCCATTATCGTAAGCCATAATACATGCTATGTACATGCGAGAACCTCTCGCTGAGCTCAGCCGAAGGATGCGTTGGCAGCCAATGGACGGCTAAATTCTTAAGGTTATGCGAATACTCAACAAGCAGCCCCCGACCAAGAGCGACAGGAGAGGAGGTTCGGTTAAAAGACCTGAAACATCCTAAGTCTCCGGTGACGAGGTGAATAGATGCCGCCTCAAAATAAGCATCCACAACCCAAAGGGACCCCCGAGGCACCTACAATAATAATATAATAATATTAATAAATAAATAATATCCCCATTAGCTAAGCTCATACGGGTCATAGATGGCGGATCTGATCTCAGTACCTGCAAGAGTAGGTTGGCTGCAAATATAAATAAGAGCTCCCGACCAAGAGACGCAGATGAAAATAAAGCAACGAAGTAGGAACGTTGACAAATGATTTGGAAACGTTGAACTTGGGCTGACGGCTGTGGCTTCTGTTACCTCAGTATGCAAGAGTGACATCTTGCAGAAATGCTTCAGGATAATGTCACGATCGCCTCCGTCCCGTTAAAACCATGGCAGGTCTTCGAGTACGTTCATGCTACGTCGCCATTAGGTTGGCGGTACAGGCTCAGTTTAAATCCTGACTAGTCTATGTCGCTCTGCCGAATTCCATAAGGTCTCGTGTAACCCATGTGTGCCTCCTGCAATGCATAGACAACACAGGGACCGAAAATGCAAACTGTACGATCGAGGATAGCGGCTAAGCGGGACCCTTAACACATGAATACGAAAAACAGAAACAAAGAAAACACTAGAACTAGAAACACAAAAGCACAAGCGGGCGACGAATTGAACGCTTAAGGCAAAAGCGCTCGCCTCAGATAGAAACGAGAGGGTAACAAACTATGCGCATGGAAGAACCGCTTCCTGCCTAAACCATAGATGCAAACAGGCAAACAGAAACAGGACCTCGGCTCTGACCAAAGCTCGCGAAGTGAACGCTCCCAAGGCAGGAGTTTATCATGAAGATGAGCAGAGGATGCGGCGCTTCTAAAGTGTCGGCACCTCAAAAGATGAAGATGGCAATGTTAAGAAAACATAAGCATCGAGGTGAAAATGGGTATCCGAGCTCTGACATTATAGCTAGCCTGCGACGGAACTGATAAGGCGAAAAGATACAAGGCGCAAAACGCAACTAAATCCTAGAAGCATACAGCAAAATGCAAATGTTTCAACGCCGGTGACAGCTCTTCCTAAACGGACTGCACCCAGCCCAATAGAACAGAGTCAAGGGGACGAGGACCAGAGACCGTGGCATGTAGTTAAAGGGAAAGAAACAGCAGACAGAATGAGACAAAATCGCAGAACAAACCCTGGCTACACAAGACGGCAGAAAGCTAACAAGCTTCAGCAAAAGGTAATAGACCAGTACGCCAGAAGCAGTGCTAATCAAACCACGGAAGGCCAAGCTATGCCAGGTCTTCAACCAAACGTCAACACGTCATGGGGATCAAGACAAGGTGGAAGTCGCAATACGGAAAACAAAATCAGGGCCTTCCTCGAACTGAAGAAAGGAGAAAAGAACCAGAGCTCCAAAACGCGCTTAACAACCTGATGGTATAGCTTCTATAAGCGAGCTGAAAGAAAGCCACAATAGAGATCCGAGACCTCGACTCCCAAATTACCGCAGCAGAAGTTACGTCCTCAGTAAGAAGACTACTAGAAGAAGCAGTTGAAGAAATAACAGTGAGGACCAGCTCGCCAAACACTCGCGAACAAATACGCGCCTATGTGACAATGACAGCAGACAACGCAAACAGGATTAAGGGAAGGCCACATAAAATAGGATGGATCAGCTGCAGATGAAGCTCATGAAAGAAGTCAAAAAATGCTACAGATGCTTCAACTTCGGTCACCTACAATGGGAGTGCAAAGGGCCTGATAGGAAAGGCCAAGGATTATGCATACGTTGCGGGAAATCCGGGCACAAGCTGAAAGATTGCACAAACACACCGAGCTGTTGCCTCTGTGTGGAACAAAAGCATAGCCAAACAGACCATATCCCAGGGTCTCGCACGTATGAGTCGTACAGGGAACAAATAAGGATATGAAGATCCTGCAGTGTAACATGCACAGAAGCAAAACCGCTGACTCCCTGCTCCCACAGCTCATGCTGGAATTCGGAACCGAAGTAGCAATCATCAGCGAGCAATACAGGATAGTGCAAGACGGAACATGGTTGGAGGACATCACCGCAACAGCGACAATATGGCTAACGGAAAGCAGCGGCTTCAAAACAACAAGCAGCGGGAGAGGAAATGGTTTTGTCTGGATAAGCAACGAAAACATCACGATAATTAGCTGCTACCTGACACCGAGCGATCCTTTCTCAGAATTCCAAGCAAAGCTCGATGCCATTGAGGATGCCGCGCATCACCCAAATCGGCACTTAATCATAGCCGGAGATTTCAACGCCAAGGCCATGGAATGGGGCACACCGACAACAAATTCGAGGGGACGCAAAATCCTTGACATGGCAGCTAGATTAGGACTTATCGTTGCCAACAGAGGATCCCAAACAACTTTCAGAAGGCCGGGATGCAACGACACAACTCCCGATATTACGCTGGTATCTGAAGGATTCGCAAACCAGCTACGCGAATGGAAAGTACTAGAAGACTACACAGGTAGCGATCACCAATACATATCCTACCTCATAGGTCCAGACAAAAGTCAAGCAACAACTAAAAGAAGAGGAACACGTAAATGAAACGTTTCCAAGCTACACTCAGGAAAACTCCTCGCAAGCATAGACAAAAACCCACCAAAATACCACGCAAGTAGCCCAGCTAGGTTTATTGTCAAAGAAACACTGGACAGCATCACAGAGGCATGTAAGGCAGCCATGCCCAAAATAAAAGGTGGGCATCCAAAGAAAGCAGTTTATTGGTGGACGGACGAAATACAAAATCTGAGACAAACTTGCCTGCGTAAAAGACGCCGATACACAAGGGCTAGAAGAAGAGGAAGAAACGAAATGGAAGAGCATAAGGAATATAAAGCTGCGAAAACTGAGCTGAAAGATGCAATAAAAAAGGCAAAGAAAGATAAATGGGAAGAGCTACGTAGCGATATAAACAAAAATCCTTGGGGTCTCGGATACAAGATCGTAATGAGAAAGCTCGGGGCGAAACAGTCCATTTCAGAGTTAAACGCTGCAGCCATGGAGCACATCGTAAACAGTCTGTTCCCAACCCATGTCCTGGGGAGAGACCCACCAGAGTATATTTATTTATTTATTTATTTATTTAAACGCCAATCGGCAATATACATAGATATAATAAAGATTTGAAGTATTATACAAAAGTAGCTAGGGTATTTTGTGTAATATCTGGAAAATATTTAAATAATTGTAAGTCAATATGTAATTCAGACTTGATTTAGATGTAATTCAGACGAGCAGGTGTCTCTTGGTGTTTTCGGTAAAAGCAGCGTATGTTCCTCCATAGAAATCAATTTCACCTTGAAGTGAATTTACTGAATTAGCCAGTCTATTATGAGGACCATGGATAACATAATTTTTCTTGGATTTCGATGTTTTTAGTAATCTATTTCGCCTCAGGGTAAGACCAGCAGGGGCGAGTTCAAAACTGTTTAGGATCTCATGAGCATCAGTGATGTTATTGACTACTATGTAGAAAAAGCAGAGGTCAGCGACCTGTCGACGAGAAGACAGTTTATTTATACAGTAGCACTGGTAGAGCAGATGTGACTTGGTGAAGATTGTTTATAGGCCAGTGACTTACAGAATTTACGCTGCACCTTTTCAACTTTATCGATTGTCGTGTTAGTGTAGGGAGACCAGATTACCGAACCATATTCCAAAATTGGTAGTACATCCAAGGGCTTTGAGCGCCTTTGATGTAATTTTGTCTGCGTGGTGTGAGAAGGTGAGCTTATTATCAACAATGATACCTAAGTCTTTTATGTTCTCGACCTCAGCTATCTCAAGCCCATCAAGTTTGTAGCTCGTGCGGATCGGTGAGTGTGAGCGAGCGAAAGATATGGCCGCACATTTGTTTACGTTGAGATCCAGCTTGTTCACTCGACACCAGTCGCTGAGGGTACTTATGTCTTGTTGCAAGATTATGATGTCTGTCTCACAAGTAATCGGTCTAAATATTTTGAGGTCATTAGTATACAGAAGGAAATCATAAGCAAAGTTATTACCAATGTCGTTGACGAAGACGTTAAACAGCACAGGACCAAGGTGAGCTCCTTGGGGCACACCAGAGATTACTTCATATTCACTGGATAAGTGGCCATCTACTCTGACTTGCAAGCGTCTTTCTGTGAGGTATGTACGTATCCAAGCTAATGCACGTCCAGCCACAAATACGCTAAAAGTATTTCGTAGTCAACACGGTCGAAAGCCTTGCTGAAGTCTGTGTAAATGCTGTGTGTGCAGTTTCCGGAATCCATGGAGTTCAGCAGTTTGTCGACGTATATGAACAAATTGGTAGTGGTGGATCTGCCACCAGTAAAGCCATGTTGTTTGGTTGTTATGATGTTTTCAAATGCCTGACGTATCTGTGGAAGCACTAAACTCTCAAATAGTTTTGCAAGTGCAGACTGTATGCAGATAGGACGGTAGTTGGTAACCAAGGTCTTGGGCCCCTCTTTAAGAATCGGTGAGATGTATGACAGTTTTCAGTAGGTCGGGAAGGTACCATGGTGAAGAGATTCGCCAAATATATGTGTCAAAGGCTCACATAGGCCTACCGCACAGTTTTTGATGAATATGTTAGGCAAACCATCGGGGCCTGCACCTTTGCTGGGGTCGAGAGCAAGGAGTTCTTTGAGTACTGCATCGTAGGTCACTGTCAGGGCATCCAAGTGTGTGCGCTGTGTTGCAACACCTTTGTCACCGCTATTCGATGGCGCGTAGATGCTGTGGAAGAAGGGCGCAAAGAGGTTACTGATACCTGGTCCCGTATCTGCTGAGCGGTCATTCCAGGCTACGGAAGATGGTATGTCACCGGTGCAACGGTTTTTGTCCTTGATAAAATTCCAGAATGCTTTGATCTCCGATTGCAGTTTGTCCTCTACCTTGTCGACATAACTTTTGTAGCATTCGATACTTAACTTTTTGCATTCCAATCGTAACCTGCTGAATCGTAAATAATTTGGCTTAGTTTTCCGAATTTTATATATCAGGTGTGCAGATTTCTTCTGTTTGGCTTTGTGAATGAGATCATGTGAGAACCAAGATGGATAGTTACTCGGCTTGCGTACGTGTATGTCAATAGTCTCGAGTTTGTAGAGGTCAATCCAGTTCGTTCTTAGGAGAGAAGTATTAAGGGCTGCGTAGTTAGCCTTTTTAAATACGTATGATGAGGAATTATCTGGCGTCAACCCCGGCCGAAAATTTAGCAAGATGTCGATAGCAGGATGGTACTTATCTTTCGGGACAAGAGCAACTGCGTGTTCCGGAGAAGAGGCAATGTCACTGAAACAAAGGTCAAGTATTGAGTTCCAGGCATTTTGAATGTGATTTTGTTGAGTGCAGTTTAATGAGGCAAATCCATCATAAAGTTGCTTTTCACAGTCGAAACTGTTCATGACGTTGGAGTTTTGGTATTTGTCCATTATAAATGAAACGGTAGCTATGTGGCACTCGAAGATCTCAAGAGTTGATTGAGGAGGTATGTAGATGCAGCCGATGATCATATCGCGAGAAGCTTCCTTGACACGGATGAATATTTGCTCTAAATCATTGTTTGTTATTGCAATTTGACTGTATGGAGACTACGTTTACAAGCGATGAAGACACCACCACCACGCACCTGCTCGTTGCTGAGAGAAACACGGTCTTTACGGTAAATACTATATGTTGAATCAATGACTTCACCATCACATATGGATGAGTGAAGCCAGGATTCCGAAATACATACAACGTCGTACTGGTTAGGCGCTAATGCGGTTTGAAATGTTGATAGTTTTGTACGCAGACCTCTGACGTTCCGGTAGCACAGGTGAACGTAAGATACTTTCTTCTTGCTCGTTGAGCGAACGAAAATTTCTTTTAACGATTCTTGGGACACCATGGATATATTTAATTGTGTTACTGTCATCACCACTCTTCACGATTGAATCAAGCTCTTGACGCAAATTTTTCAGATAAAGTTGTTGAGAGGGAGTGAGATCAGTCTTGAAAATAAAACCTGAGTTTTCGTCTGTTGGTCTGTATTTGATAATGGAAAGTGCATCGGCTGCTGAGCGGGTGGTAATGTGAAGAGGACGTTTACGTCAAGGTGTAGGACGACCCAGTCTACGTAACTTGAGCTCAGTGGCCTCATCCTTGAGACTGGGAGGCAAAGCTATGACTAACTTTGTTCTGTCATCCTCTAAACGGTCCTTTCCAGCAGCTTTATCAGACTCAGGAATATTTAGGGCAATCACGTTGATTTCACGGCGTTTTCGTTCCGACAGTTCAGTGAAAAACTCTTCCTGGCTGGTAGGCAGCCTCATATCTACGTTTAGCTTGTCTTCAACTGATGTAAGTCTGTCATCCAGGGCAGAACATTGATTTGATAGCGAGACGTTTTGTTTTGACAGTTTGCTTACCTCTTTTCTTAAGTCCTTGATTTCACTTACAACTGATTTTTTTACAATAAGTCCCTGAACTCACGTTCATAATTTGTTGTAAAACGTTCAAAGTGTCTCTTGAGTAAGGTTTCAATATCCTTTGACGGTGGCGGATCATCTGATGCCTCCTATGACAGATTACATCAGTTGAAGACAAGCTAAACGTAGATATGAGGCTGCCTACCAGCCAGGAAGAGTTTTTCACTGAACTGTCGGAACGAAAACGCCGTGAAATCAACGTGATTGCCCTAAATATTCCTGAGTCTGAATAAGCTGCTGGAAGGGACCGTTTAGAGGATGACAGAACAAAGTTAGTCATAGCTTTGCCTCCCAGTCTCAAGGATGAGGCCACTGAGCTCAAGTTACGATAGACTGGGTCGTCCTACACCTTGACGTAAACGTCCTCTTCACTTACCCACCGCTCAGCAGCCGATGCACTTTCCATTATCAATACAGACCAACAGACGAAAACTCAGGTTTTATTTTCAAGACTGATCTCACTCCCTCTCAACAACTTTATCTGAAAATTTGCGTCAAGAGCTTGATTCAATCGTGAAGAGTGGTGATGACAGTAACACAATTAAATATATCCATGGTGTCCCAAGAATCGTTAAAGAAATTTTCGTTCGCTCAACGAGCAAGAAGAAAGTATCTTACGTTCACCTGTGCTACCGAACGTCAGAGGTCTGCGTACAAAACTATCAACATTTCAAACCGCATTAGCGCCTAACCAGTCGACGTTGTATGTATTTCGGAATCCTGGCTTCACTCATCCATATGTGATGGTGAAGTCATTGATTCAACATATAGTATTTACCGTAAAGACCGTGTTTCTCTCAGCAACGAGCAGGTGCGTGGTGGTGGTGTCTTCATCGCTTGTAAACGTAGTCTCCATCACGTCAAATTGCAATAACAAACAATGATTTAGAGCAAATATTCATCCGTGTCAAGGAAGCTTCTCGCGATATGATCATCGGCTGCATCTACATACCTCCTCAATCAACTCTTGAGATCTTCGAGTGCCACATAGCTACCGTTTCATTTATAATGGACAAATACCAAAACTCCAACGTCATGAAAGTTTCGACTGTGAAAGCAACTTTATGATGGATTTGCCTCATTAAACTGCACTCAACAAAATCACATTCAAAATGCCTGGAACTCAATACTTGACCTTTGTTTCAGTGACATTGCCTCTTCTCCGGAACACGCAGTTGCTCTTGTCCCGAAAGATAAGTACCATCCTGCTATCGACATCTTGCTAAATTTTCGGCCGGGTTGACCGCAGATAATTCCTCATCATACGTATTTAAAAGGCTAACTACGCAGCCCTTAATACTTCTCTCCTAAGAACGAACTGGATTGACCTCTACAAACTCGAGACTATTGACATACACGTACGCAAGCCGAGTAACTATCCATCTTGGTTCTCACATGATCTCATTCACAAAGTCAAACAGAAGAAATCTGCACACCTGATACAAAAATTCGGAAAACTAAGCCAAATTATTTACGATTCAGCAGGTTACGATTGGAATGCAAAAAGTTAAGTATCGAATGCTACAAAGTTATGTCGACAAGGTAGAGGACAAACTGCAATCGGAGATCAAAGCATTCTGGAATTTTATCAAGGACAAAAACCGTTGCACCGGTGACATCCATCTTCCGTAGCCTGGAATGACCGCTCAGCAGATACGGGACCAGGTATCAGTAACCTCTTTGCGCCCTTCTTCCACAGCATCTACGCGCCATCGAATAGCGGTGACAAAGGTGTTGCAACACAGCGCACACACTTGATGCCCTGACAGTGACCTACGATGCAGTACTCAAAGAACTCCTTGTCTCGACCCCAGCAAAGGTGCAGGCCCGATGGTTTGCCTAACATATTCATCAAAAACTGTGCGGTAGGCCTATGTGAGCCTTTGACACATATTTGGCGAATCTCTTCACCATGGTACCTTCCCGACCTACTGAAAACTGTCATACATCTCACCGATTCTTAAGAGGGGCCCAGACCTTGGTTACCAACTACCGTCCTATCTGCATACAGTCTGCACTTGCAAAACTATTTGAGAGTTTAGGCTTCCACAGATACGTCAGGCATTGAAAACATCATAACAACCAAACAACATGGCTTTACTGGTGGCAGATCCACCACTACCAATTTGTTCATATACGTCGACAAACTGCTGAACTCCATGGATTCCGGAAACTGCACACACAGCATTTACACAGACTTCAGCAAGGCTTTCGACCGTGTTGACTACGAAATACTTTTAGCGTATTTGTGGCTGGACGTGCATTAGCTTGGATACGTACATACCTCACAGAAAGACGCTTGCAAGTCAGAGTAGATGGCCACTTATCCAGTGAATATGAAGTAATCTCTGGTGTGCCCCAAGGAGCTCACCTTGGTCCTGTGCTGTTTAACGTCTTCGTCAACGACATTGGTAATAACTTTGCTTATGATTTCCTTCTGTATACTAATGACCTCAAATATTTAGACCGATTACTTGTGAGACAGACATCATAATCTTGCAACAAGACATAAGTACCCTCAGCGACTGGTGTCGAGTGAACAAGCTGGATCTCAACGTAAACAAATGTGCGGCCATATCTTTCGCTCGCTCACACTCACCGATCCGCACGAGCTACAAACTTGATGGGCTTGAGATAGCTGAGGTCGAGAACATAAAAGACTTAGGTATCATTGTTGATAATAAGCTCACCTTCTCACACCACGCAGACAAATTACATCAAAGGCGCTCAAAGCCCTTGGATGTACTACCATTTTGGAATATGGTTCGTAATCTGGTCTCCTACACTAACACGACAATCGATAAAGTTGAAAAGGTGCAGCGTAAATTCTGTAGTCACTGGCCTATAAACAATCTTCACCAAGTCACATCTGCTCTACCAGTGCTACTGTATAAATAAACTGTCTTCTCGTCGACAGGTCGCTGACCTCTGCTTTTTCTACATAGTAGTCAATAACATCACTGATGCTCATGAGATCCTAAACAGTTTTGAACTCGCCCTGCTGGTCTTACCCTGAGGCGAAATAGATTACTAAAAACATCGAAATCCAAGAAAATTATGTTATCCATGGTCTCATAATAGACTGGCTAATTCAGTAAATTCACTTCAAGGTGAAATTGATTTCTATGGAGAACATACGCTGCTTTTACCGAAAACACCAAGAGACACCTGCTCGTCTGAATTACATCTAAATCAAGTCTGAATTACATATTGACTTACAATTATTTAAATATTTTCAGATATTACACAAAATACCCTAGCTACTTTTGTATAATACTTCAAATCTTTATTATATCTATGTATATTGCGATTGGCGTTTAAATAAATAAATAAATAATAAATATACTCTGGTGGGTCTCTCCCAGGACATGGGTTGGGAACAGACTGTTTCGATGTGCTCCATGGCTGCAGCGTTTAACTCTGAAATGGACTGTTTCGCCCCGAGCTTTCTCATTACGATCTTGTATCCGAGACCCCAAGATTTTTGTTTATATCGCTACGTAGCTCTTCCCATTTATCTTTCTTTGCCTTTTTATTGCATCTTTCAGTCTCAGTTTTCGCAGCTTTATATTCCTTATGCTCTTCCATTTCGTTTCTTCCTCTTCTTCTAGCCCTTGTGTATCGGCGTCTTTACGCAGGCAAGTTTGTCTCAGATTTTGTATTTCGTCCGTCCACCAATAAACTGCTTTTTGGATGCCCACCTTTATTTTGGGCATGGCTGCCTTAGCCTCCTCGTGATGCTGTCCAGTGTTTCTTGACAATAAACCTAGCTGGGCTACTTGCGTGGTATTTTGGTGGTTTTTGTCTATGCTTGCGAGGAGTTTTCCTGAGTGTAGCTTGGAAACGATTCATTTACGTGTTCCTCTTCTTTTAGTTGTTGCTTGATTTTGTCTGGACCTATGAGGTAGGATATGTATTGGTGATCGCTACCTGTGTAGTCTTCTAGCACTTTCCATTCGCGTAGCTGGTTTGCGAATCCTTCAGATACCAGCGTAATATCGGGAGTTGTGTCGTTGCATCCCGGCCTTCTGAAAGTTGTTTGGGATCCTCTGTTGGCAACGATAAGTCCTAATCTAGCTGCCATGTCAGGATTTTGCGTCCCCTCGAATTTGTTGTCGGTGTGCCCCATTCCATGGCCTTGGCGTTGAAATCTCCGGCTATGATTAAGTGCCGATTTGGGTGATGCGCGGCATCCTCAATGGCATCGAGCTTTGCTTGGAATTCTGAGATAGGATCGCTCGGTGTCAGGTAGCAGCTAATTATCGTGATGTTTTCGTTGCTTATCCAGACAAAACCATTTCCTCTCCCGCTGCTTGTTGTTTTGAAGCCGCTGCTTTCCGTTAGCCATATTGCCGCTGTTGCGGTGATGTCCTCCAACCATGTTCGTCTTGCACTATCCTGTATTGCTCGCTGATGATTGCTACTTCGGTTCCGAATTCCAGCATGAGCTGTGGGAGCAGGAGTCAGCGGTTTGCTTCTGTGCATGTTACACTGCAGGATCTTCATATCCTTATTGTTCCTGTACGACTCATACGTGCGAGACCCTGGGATATGGTCTGTTTGGCTATGTTTTGTTCCACACAGAGGCAACAGCTCGGTGTGTTTGTGCAATCTTTCAGCTTGTGCCGGATTTCCGAACGTATGCATAATCCTTGGCCTTTCCTATCAGGCCCTTTGCACTCCCATTGTAGGTGACCGAAGTTGAAGCATCTGTAGCATTTTTGACTTCTTTCATGAGCTTCACTCTGCAGCTGATCCATCCTATTTTATGTGGCCTTCCTTAAGTATCCTGTTTGCGTTGTCTGCTGTCATTGTCACATAGGCGCGTATTTGTTCGCGAGTGTTTGCGAGCTGGTCCTCACTGTTATTTCTTCAACTGCTTCTTCTAGTAGTCTTCTTACTGAGGACGTAACTTCTGCTGCGGTATTTGGGAGTCGAGGTCTCGGATCTCTATTGTGCTTTCTGCTTCAGCTCGCTTATAGAAGCTATACCACGTAGGTTGGTTTTAAGCGCGTTTTGGAGCTCTGGTTCTGGTTTTCTCCTTTCTTCAGTTCGAGGAGCAGGGCCCCTGATTTTGTTTTCCG